GAAGGAAGGAAAGAGAGAGGAAAGGAAAGAAGGAAGGAGAGAGAGAGGGAGGAAAGAAGGGAAGGAAAGGAGAAAAGGAAGGAAGGAAAGGAAAGGAGAGAAGGACAGAGAGAAGAAAGGAGAGCGGAAAGGAAGGGAAGGGAAGGGAGGAAGGCAGGCAACCCAGCCAAGCAAGACAGGCCAACAAGCCTCCATTTGTCCCATTCCCAGCTAGCTAGCCGGCGTCCCTTTCCCTCCACTTCTTTCCCCTTGCCCTGTCTGTGGTGCTCAGTGAGGGCCTTTGGGGGAGAGTGGAGGGCGATGGCAGGCTTCATACCTTGGAGTGGGACCCTATGGGACAATTTCTTGCCTCCCATTTCAATTCCATCCCAGGCCTCCACCTGGTCTTGATATCTAATTGCCTTCATTGTGCATTGAAAGGCTTCACTTTCCTCACCTGAGCTGCATCCACTGGGCAGAAATAATCCAGTTTGACACCACTTTAACTACCAAGGCTCAATGCTGTGGAATTCTGGGAATGGTGCCGCAACAAAATACCATTCCCAGAATTCCATAGCATTGAGCCATGGCAGATGTCAAACTGGATTATTTCTGCCCTGCCAATGCAACCTTAGTTATCTTTGTTTTTCAAGTAGTTCCCTGGCCCTTTTAAATCCCAGAGTCCCAGTGTATTTGCATTATTTATATTAAAGCACCACTGAGAGGCCACAACTGTACAGAACTGTAATCCTGTTCCAACCAAGGTGCACAGAGTGAATGGTGTGCCCTTAGTGACACAGTGCGTCTCTGATATACCTGGGAAGGCATTCAAGATTCTTGAAACCTCAGACAGGAACCCAATATTGCATGGCTATTCCTCCTCTGGTTTTATTTTCATCTCATCTTGCTGGTTCCATGAAGAAATAAAGGGCACAGAATGGATAGGTTATTTTCTTTGGATGCAGCAGTAGTTTAACTATGACATACAGGTTTGCAGGCTTCACAGAAGTCTTGATCAAGCAAAATGATATTCAGGCAAATAGTATCATATGCATCTGAGGAAGAAGACAAGTCTAGGAATGCTCATGCTGCCAACTTCTTTATTTCAGTTAGCCTCAAAGGTGCTACAAGATCTCTCTACATACTGTTTCTACAGACTAACACAGCTATATCTTTGAATTCTGTGAACTGTGATGGCTTGCTCATCTTCTTTAAAGACTGGGCTGGTTCAATGAAAGGCATCAAGATTAATGCCTGTTTGTATCAGTTGTTGTGTTTCTGATTTATGGCAAAACTAAGGCAAACATATTACCGGGTTTTTTTGGCAGCATGTGTTCAGAGGGATTTTTCCTTTGCCTTCTTCTCAGGCTGAGAGAGTGTGACTTGCCTAAGCTCAGTGGGTTTCTATGGCTGAGCAGGGATTTGAACCCTAGTCTCTTCTATACTCTAACCACACCACATATGGTCGGCCCTCCAAATCTACAGATTCTTTATCCATAGATTCAACCATCCATGGCTTGCAAAAAATATATATATTCCAAAAATCAAACCTTGATTTTTTTCATTTTATATAAGGGACACAGTTTTACTATGCCATTGTACATAATGGAACTTGAGCATCTACAGATTTTGGTATCCATTGGGGATGGGGATCTTGGGACCAAACCCCAGTGGATACTAAAGGCCCACTGTATTCTATATATAGAGTTAATGAAACACAGGCCTTGGGCCTTGTGTTCTCCCCACACCACATTTTAGATATAGATCTCCAAATGCTGTGGTCTTTGTTTAGTTTAATGCTCCCATTACAAAAGCTCAGATGGGCCATAATTTGATTAAAATGGGGGAAGAATGTCAACAGGTCACTTGAGTCTTTGTGGAATCCATGAAACTTGCGCTCCTCATTCCTAGTTCCCACCTTTTTCTTCCTAATTGGAAACTGAGTCACATTGCTGAAATCCAGTCTTGAGGTTCATGTTTTGGGGATCTTCAGCTAAGCTAGGGCACAAATAGGGTATAATAGTAAATAGGCTGTTCTTTGGGAAATGCTATAGAGAAGAGGAATATTGGTGGAAGATTTTGTAGCCTGCTTAGCATGGAAGCTTGACAGATGAATGTTAATAAATATCTGCTCTGCATTCTCAAGCCACCTCTGATTTTATAGATTCAGCAGCATCACCTCCCCAGATTTGACTGGACACGTCAAACTTTTCTAATCATAGCCCTTCCTTTGGTCAGGATGATGATGAAAAACATGTTGAAGGAGCTCCTCCTTCCAGCAATTCCTCATCCATCTTCTCACCAGTATTTCACTTTATCCCCCCTAATATTGGAACTCACTTCTACAGTTCTTCTGTATGTAGGTACTTCCTCCTCCTTGAATGGTTTCTTGTTGTGTGCCTTCAAGATCTAAGGTGAACCTATTACAGGGTTTTCTGGGCTGAGAGTATGTGATTCGCCCAAGGTCGCCCAGTGGGTTTCCATGGCCGAGCAGGGAATTGAGCCCTGATCTCCAGAGTCCTAGCCCTATGCTCAACCCACTACACCACACTGGCTTCCTTGAATGGTAGGTTCAGTTAAAAAGCAACAATAACAAAACAGTGGATATGTACATTTGCAGCCACACATTGGAATAAATCTGATATACGGTAATTTGCAATATAAATAAATGGCACTGAAATTCTTGATGAGACTGTGAAGTAGCATGAGCAGGAGGGGACTAGCAGTAGCAATGTCTACCAACACTTGTTAAAATAAATTAGCAAGAAAAAAAATTAACAAGGGGTGTCAGTCCGTGGGTGGAATGGCACAAATGCGCTGGGAGGGGGGACGACACAGGGATTCTGACAATGGAGGAAGAACAGAAGTGAGATGAGGTGAAAAAATCCATGTGGTTCACATTTTTCTGGGGAAAAATAAATTGTGACAGACAAACAAGGTGTGATCTGTCTAGATACACTCTCACAGACCTTTCTCTTAAATAAACTATTTCCAAGCATCCAGCTTAGGGATCCAGCTCTTCCTGGATAACATTCATTGGGCCCACATTAGAAGAGAACTTGGAAAAGTGTTTTTTTTTAAACTACAACTCATGGTCATACTGGTTGGAGGATTCTAGGTGTTGATTTGGGTCTTCTGTAAAGCCAGTGTGCATTTGTATTACATGTCTATTTTCTAACAATCCAAATAATTGCAGAGTTTCTCAGGTTAGGATTGGTTTACCTGGAGACACACGTAGGGACAGACCATGACAAAAACTTATGGTAGTTAACTGAGCCCAAGCAACCAATTTTAGGGACCTCTGTAGTAGGTGGTCCAGGGGAAAATGTGTTGAGAACTCCTGTGCTGCTCACATATGTCTTAAGGATGTGAATACAAGATGCTAATGGTCCATTAATGATGAAGGGTCACATGCTAAGAAGTTGTGGTGGCAGAATATCCCAAGTTCCTTTGAGTTCCTCCTCCCTCTCCCATTCCAAATGGATCTTTTTGGCCTAAATCCAGTGGTTGTCTGCTATTTGCACTAGAAACTCTTATCCTCCCCTCCACATGCCCCCAAATGTACTACAGGTTGAATAT